ACACAGCATAAAATACATATGTTCTACTTAAGAACTTTGTAAGCCAATATACTACAGTTTCATAGTCACGACACAGCAGGGCTTGTGAAAGACAACACTGGACAGCCAGAAAATAAGTTCTGACATTTAGTAACATTTGTACATTTTAATATGGACCCAAGATGCTTTTGATAGTTAAAGCTTAACTATCATAAATATATTTTATTGAATTGATGTGAGCAAAATAGAGACTATTTCCGATGGTATTTTGCATTGTAAGTGAAAAACAAAAACACAGATTTGAATAAGAAGCTGTATGAATTTTTAACGTTTTAAACACCAAATGCAACAATACTGTTGAGATTATCAGGTTGGAAAAGTTCTGAAGGAAATACGGGGAAACACTGTGAATTACTTACATTTATCTAAAAGATGTTTACCTTACTTGCAGTAGGATGGAACTGTATGAGGTAGGGATGAATCTGGGCTATTGAATGAGAGACAAGACTACACAATTTCCTAAAACAAAAAAAATAAAAAAGAGGCCATAATATAATTTCCCTGAGAGTCCAGAAACCACTGAAGGATTTGTCCATTTACATAAGGCCCTTATATTCCAAAATGAGTCAAGGAAAACCATTTAACTGTAGCTCTAGTCAAGCCCAACAAAGAGTTAAGCATTTTAAATTCTACACTGAAGCTAAACTGTTCTTGAAATTCAGCTGGCAGCCAGCCTGGCTAGTCATCCGTCGATTTGATGTGTGCTTCAAGAACCTGGCCCAAACAGACAAACTGTGAGCCAGGAATCCAAACAAACAGTCTGAGAAACCAAGAACCATCCCTGGCAAGTTAAGTTTGTACCATCACCGTGGCCCAAGCATGTAAGGCAGTCTCCATCAGTCCACGTCTGTGCTACTGTGATGCTGCAACTGAGAAATGAAACCAAACATCTGTGTGTAGGGTGTTGTGCTACTGTTTGACCTTAAAACGTGATTGATTCACTGTGTCATTACTGTATGTAACACACTGCATTTAAATTACAGCTTAAAAGGAGGAAAACTATCAGGTTTTTCTGTGGGTGCTCCACAAAAAATGTGCCTGTGTGCATGTTGCTCAGTCAGAGGGTGTATATACTGTATGAGTTACTGTGTATACGTATGTGCAAAGCTGTGGTGTATACTGATAGTGAGGTGTGTTGCATGTTGCAAATGCATTTAGGTGGTTGAACCTTCACTACATACTGCTCACACTTCTCTTTGCTTATGTTAAGCTGAAATGTCTCCAAGCAACTGAAAGGACAAAAGTCCGGCACTGTGGTGTTGTTGATCGTTTAGTTTTCATCATAAATGATGACAGAAAGGTCATGTTAAAATCAATACAAATATTTCTCTTTCTGTGAAATGATTCACCTTACTGTCTTTATTACAAAGACAAACAGCTCTGTTCTGTAAGTGATTTGTGAGAATAAATCTGGGAATCTTTTATGACTGTAGATTGAGATGTTAGCGTATACATTACAATAAATCTACATTTTAATAAATCGACATCAGGCAGACTCATTCTTCTACTCCTGACCATCTGCACTCTCTACAATATAAACAATATTACTGTACTACAGGAGTAAAATAAGCAAACAAGATCGCTCAGCTCATTGAGTTTGTAAAACAACAAGTGATATTACCATCACTGATGACCCTGATAAATATGCTATCTGAAAATGCAAGCAAATAGTTTCCATGGCAATTTTCTACCTTTCAATAGGGAAAAGTTAAACACTGCCATTGGCTTTTCTGAAGGATACATCAACCTTAATGTTCCAACAATTAAATCACTTTAATAAAAGCAAATTATTTTTTTTCCAATTGTAGGATATACACAGCAATACACATGTTAAGGTGAAGGTTATGTACCTATGAGAAGCTGTTCAGGTTAACATAACCCAGTGTAACATGGTGTCTGAGGCTGGATTGTCTACGTTTGTCTACGCTGAAACTGCATTCAACAAAACTGTCAAACTTAAAATGATATTATTATGCATCAAACATATACTAATTTCATTTTTAATTAAACTAAAGAAATTATAATATAATTATATTATTACATAATAGTAATATAATTAAAATTAATAATTAATTAAAAATACAGTGATGGAGAAAATACAGCCCATTCATCAGCGTTTAACTGTGTCACTGACAAATAATGATGTATTTTACCTAAAGGTCAACCGCAGACAACCCTGATCTCTTTGTATCTAGAAAACCAAACTAATTTACTGTCATTCACATTTAATAGCTACCCTCTTGAATGCTTAACATTTGCTTTCATTATTCCAATGATTTCATATTTATTGATAAGTTACAGTAATAATGAAAGGTATAAAAGGTATCATCTAAATTGATCCAGCCGACAGCGCTCAGTCTGCACTATACTAGCTGCTGAGCTAATGTTATGTTAGCTCACATTATACTTTCACAGACTGGCAAAACAAGCTGCTGCACCAAATGCTCCAGAGTCTGATTAAGTTCATTAAAATATGTTTGTTGATGTGCTTAAAAGTATAAGTGAGAGATTCAGACTGTTATTTACAATTGACTTGCATTAGCTCTGGGTCAGTACTTGACTGCTGTCTAGCTAGAACATATGTGGTTGGAAAATTACAAGTGCAGGAAGTTAATGGTTGGTAAAGTCTGAGATATAGAGTCTGCACACCTATGAATATGACTACATGGTAGTTTCACATATCTACTAAAAAATGATCACAAAATAAACCCATGCTCTAATAAACAAAGGACCTGTCAGATCACACATCAGAAAAACACGCTCACACTGTGCGAGTGTGCATGTCTTTTATGTTGGTTGGTGATGTTGGTGGAGAGGGTTTTGTCTAATAATACATTACAAGACCACAGTTTTGCCATTTTTTGCAACAAAAATAAAATAAAAGGAAGCAGCCCTTTTGTCTGGCCTGTATCTCAGAGGGTGCAAGTTAGCTTATTATTACTGGAAAAATAAAAGTGTGTTAATGAAAGCAATAGCAGGGAAGGAAGCTTCTTGAACCACCTGTTTAACATTTTCATATTCAGTGAAGAAGAGCTCAGGTTCCCATATGAGCACCTTGCCATCTGTTTCAAAAATATATCAAATTTTGGTATTCAACCACTGTGCATGCTTTGCTAAACACAGACACCTCAGAGCCTGCTAATTTCAATGTCTGCAATTACAGTTTGTGCAATATACTGTATTTGCTGTATATTTATTTTTTCCTCCATTTAATACAAACAAACCTGCTTTAAAGTGAGAATACACACAAACAACTGAGTGGCATACATTTAAGTGACAGGACTGAAAAACAACAATCAAGACTACATTTCTCTATTAGAATTAATAACACACCAGCATGACTACAACACTGACGGAATTGTATCTTAAATCAATTATAGCAAGGACCATTAGTGTTATCAGGACATGCAAACATCATTTTGATGTGGCTGTTAAGGGAGTTCTCAGCAGCTTATCAGAAATAAAACCAAAGAGTCAGCTAATCAAGAGATAAAGACAAAGAATCACTGTAGGCTTAACTAATGCACCAAATGCAGAGTGAATATGCAGCAATAAGGTCTACAAGTAACCATTTCATCATTAGCAGCTATTTTTGTTCTCATAAAATCCTTTCTCTTTATTTTCAAACCTACAAATTTCTCTCCCGTGTTTCAGTTGCCACTGACAACATGCAACCTAAACGCAACGCAGATAAACTGTTTACTGTTGTCATACACACACATATCACAAATAGTGGCACGCTAGTCAGTTACAGCAATTAGGTCACTAGTGTTACTTACTGTCAAAGTCAAGTTCAATTTATACTTCTTAATGATTCCACATTTTTCAGCTCAGATCATTATTACTGATTGTGTGAAGCTAAGTAAATGTTTGCAATTGTTGTACAGCGGTTTCTTTTGTTGTGTATGGGATTGAGTATCTGTAGACCTCAGCACATCTTGTGACCTGTATTTTTATTTTATTTTGGCCTCATCGCCAAAGTCACCACAAAGGGTCCATCTAGTCTTGCAGTGGTGCTATGACAATCATGAGTTTAAACCTACACTGAATAAAAAAAAATCAATCCCTACACTGGAGGCAACTTCAGCGGGACTGTGGGAACACTTTGATGGAGCTGCAGAAATATGGCTTATGTCTATCTGAGGACTAAAGAGAAAACTAGACAAAGCCTTCTTTGAATAGAGAGGGTACTGTTTTTTTCCATATTTTCTATCTAAAACACATGACTCCTTTTTCTCATAACCAAGGCTAATTGAATAAATTAAGAATGAATCATGGGAACACTTACTGTACGTCACTGGGACGACCTCCAGCCAACTTTCTATGACACATATCCATTCACTAGACAGGGGGATCTAAACTGTAATCAACTAATATGGATGCCAAAACCAAGACGTCACAATCTTCTAATAATAATAATAATAATAATTAAAAACTAAAACACAAAAAAAGACTTCCTGTCTGAGAATCAACAATGGAGTGTTTTTTGTATTTAGTTATTAGAATTGCAGAAGCACACTTATAAACGTGTACTTAAGTAAAACAAGAATGAACCATTAGCATATTAAAATAGAATTAGAATATTAACACTGCAATGTTGAAAACAATACCTGTCATATTTTAATAATGTTTCTTGAAACAAATTGAGAAATAATGTGTGTGGGAGAGGTAGTATGGTGAAAAGAAAACAAGATTGTTACTAAGCTTTCACTAAATCTGGGAGATACGTGTGTGAGATGGTCAAAAAACAAATGTATGTGACTGTACATGTAAACGTATATACGGTATATATAAAATATGTTAATATTGTCTACAGGGAAACAGTGTAAGGTAAATTAAATTAAATTAAAGAGACAAACAGGCAGGGAATTACAGCAGTGTTTATGGAGGACCCTCTAGTCTGTGAATAAACAGTATTGTACTGTTGTGGAAGGGAGGGAAAAATGAGGTCGAGTACTTACCCAAATTTTAACACTAAGTGGCGGTGGGGGCTACAGGATCAGACAGACACACACCTGGAAAGAAACACAGTATAATTATACAGCTCCGAAATTAAAGCAGCAGAAATGTAATATGTAAAACAAAGACAGTCATTTAGGGCAGAATAGATCTGGATCAGCTCATTTAAACTGTCCGATATTGGGTTGCAGCAGCTGTTTGGGTGTTTAATTCATCTCAGCTTCTTTTATTCAATTGTTGACTTTAAGAAAGTTAGCATTAAAGTGCAGCTCTAACTCCTAAAGTGAAATACTAACTTTTGACTGCAGGGGATACATTCAAAAATGATAATTGTGACTGAAATTTCTATTTCTGGCGTTGTGAATGTCCTACATTCTGTTTAGATACAGGTAAGGGTGGGGGTGGAATGATTTTTGTCTCCAGGGCCCAAAGATGTGTATTCCTCTTGCTGAGGAATTCTTTTGTTCTGATAAATTGACATTGTCAGTTTCCCACATTGCCACAGTGTGGCATATACTATAGGGAGCAGTGGTGGGAACACATGCTACATACGATTGGCGTCAGTCAATGTGACAGTTCTTGTTTTTTTTTTTTCTTTTGAGGGAGGGGGGTCTATTTTTCTAAATCTGAACTTCCAAGTCGAGGAAGCAGGAAGGAATAGGAATTAATACACCTACACTCCCCTTCTCCCTTCAGAATGGCAAAAATCTCTTTGTACCCACATCATAATTACTGGTGGGCGCCAGTTCGGGATTGTTATCCGTGCCTCCTTCTCACTTTTTTTGCAAGTATAACACAATGTTTTGAGAACATGCAACTGACAACTAAGTCCTTTCTCAACTTCACGTCGGTTTCTTTACGCTGTGCTAATGTTGAGGAACAAGTATTGCTTGAAGTGGCGTTCCTTGTTGTAGCATATGCTCCCTATTTTCAGAGGCGCTGTTGTTCCACAAGCACAGCGAGTAGCCGTGCGCAGAGGAAAAGTAACCAGCAGCCGGGGTGCTGGGGACATGTTCCTCCAGGGAAATGATGTTGATGAACAAGCTCTATTTTGGTGCCTTTTCATGCAGTCTGACACTCTTTTTTGATTCTATTCAAAATGCAGTCTCAATTACTGAGTAATTTTAATGTGTTTACCACAAAAACTATTTTACTCTTCACTTTTAATTAGGAGTTTTAGTGTTGAGAACCGAATAGTGGTGTATACTTTAAGTTACCACAGAAAGAGAATGCTTCTCTTAACGATCAGTTAAATGTGGAAATGTGTGCACTTGGTATGTTTTTACTTATTAAAACGGTACATCAGAAGACATACAAATAACCTAATGGAGTCTAAATATTTTCTTAAACCAACAATTCCAACATTGTGAACAAATGTGCAAATATTAGAGCTGAAACGTTGATTATTAACAGAAAGTGAATCTGCAACCATTTTGATAATCTATCATTTAACTCAATAATCAAGTCAGACAATGCAAGACATTTGACATTTTTTCACAATTTCTGATTTTATACCCTCAAGGATTAATCAATTAAATGGGAAAAAAATGAAAAACAATTGTTAGCTGTAGCCCCAGTGAGTGTAGCTCCACAAATATAAAACAGTAGGGTAATCACAGCTGTCATCAATGACATTAACTGAGGTTCTGTCCATTTAGTGTAGCAGAGCCTTTTCCAGTGAGCCAACAGCAGCACCCTGACTCTGTTTGACCTGAATGGAATGGCACCTTAATTAGTATCACTGGTAGCACCTGTTTACACCCTGCTATTGTATGTTAATATTGCTGTCAGTGTGGAAGAACTACCAAAAATAACATCATATAAAAACATCTTTTTCTCACATTTTCCTTAGTGATAGCTAGCCTTGCAAATAGCTCTACTTCTAATTGCTGAAGCTTTGACATAACTGCCAATTAGACTTCTGTTGTCACCCCAATACCAAGCAGATAAATGGAACAGAATTCGTTGTTCTCAAAGCATTGAAAGTTGACAGAAACTCTACAACATCTTGTCTTTTTTAGTAAGAATACTAAAGAGGTCATCGTCAGCACTCTTTGTTGGGACATATGTTGTAACAAAAAGGTAGAAAAATAGTTAAAACTGTCTACTCTCCAATAGCATCATCAGCTTTTCCCCCAATGTACTACTATCAAGGCCAAACTTGTGCTGTTATCACAACTACTGTGCCATCTACCCATACAGAGCTGAGTGAGAAAGTAACAGCTAGCTGGGGACCTTATTAAGTCTTATGGAAATATGCCTCACTTCCTGTTTGCGTGTCTTGCCATCATCTTAAATTGTGCACCATTTCTATGTGGTTTGGATATTTTATTTATACCTTATTTACCCAGGCTAGATTTACTGAGTGCTACAACAACAGTCTATTACTACTATGAGCAGACGTTCTGCAGCTGCCAAACAGCTATAGTCATAGAAATCCATCTATTAAAACCAGTAGTCATAGTGATTTCCTCTCCAGCTAAGAAATCTGCATGAAATATGTTACAAAAAAAAAGAAAAAGACTTGATCTACTAACATCAATATCTGACCAATTGCTTTGATTTTTTCTGAAAGAAGTGGTGGGACTTGAAACCTATCCACTAAAATTTGATTGATCTTAGGTTTACTGTCTCTGGGCTACAAATCTTAACAAAACAAAAGGGTTTCAACACGTTCTGTGCCAAGACATCTGGGGACGTAGCCAGCAAAGACAGGGTTGTGTAATTGGTGATCTGGACAGATATTGTGGAAAGCGCAGGTCAGACGGGCTTGTGGGTTTTTGTTTGTCTCTCAGTTGCCAACTGTAGCCAGTCCCAATAAGTTTAAAGCAGAACTGAGCAGAACTGTAACTTTGCTGGCACTAGAGGTGCCTGTAAGGCAGTGGTAGGCAAATAGCAGCAGTGCCAAAGAACACTTTCACTTTCATAGTTTACATCAAAATGTACATGATTTGACATAGATCTGCTATAGATAACCATGTAAATACAAGGTTCATGTAAATCCTAATAAATGTGAGCAAAATTAAGTGAGGCATTCAAACCTAACCTGACTCCTGAGCCTCGTTCTGCACCACCGTATCGAAACCTGGTGCTGAAATGAATGACACAATAAATATACAAATATATACTTTATTTGAATGAAACAAGTCCCTTTTTGTGTGTATGTGTAGAATTTAGTGGTGAAGTTGTAGATTGCAACTAAATGAACACAACTTACATCTGTATTTGACCACCTGGGAATGAGAGCGGGCTGTGAAGTTTATAGGAGAAACTATGGTGGCGGCGAAACTCACAAAAAACGCAAAAGGCCCTATGTACATCCAGTGTTAGTTTTATTAATGAAAACAAACCTATGAATACTATTCTCCATTTCTGGAATAGATCCTCCTAAATGTTACACACTGGATCTTTAAACTGCTTAATTTAACTATCACAGATTTGCTTCTCACAAACACGAATAATGGGCAGTGCAAAATAAATGGCATGCTGATGATATTTTTTCTAAGCCAACAAGAACAACAGCTCTTTCATTCAGTCGGAATTGAATTGACCAATGGTTGAACTTAAACTGCTGACCTCTGCTGTAAGAGAGACTTGAATGTTACTTTCTTGTGATCTTCCAATGTGTACTCCAGTCAAATCAAGACCAAAAAAGGCCAAATAACACCCAGACAGAATTCCCATTCCACAATATGGAACTACAGTTCCCATAATGCTTTGTGAGATGTAAATAGGAATATAATGTTGACATGGTTTCAGTGAGTTAACATTTTTGCGATTCGGCACCATTAAAGTACGCTCAATTAGTTATTAGCAGTTCCTGTTTGCAATGTACCGATGGATGTACAATCAACTACAACTGGATAACTTTGATAGCGAAGAAAACTTAAAATCATGACGATTTTCAGGCAAATTCTGGAGTTACGGGAAGCATTTTTTTCTTCTTTAAATTTCTAAGCCGCTTTATGAACATTTATTCAAGTATAATGATATCCTCTGGAAGTCACATTGCATTTAAAACTATGTGTATCATGTCTATATATTCAGATTTTACTGAGATATGACTCAGAAAAGAAGTACAATTTTGACCCTCTCGCAGAATCTTCGTCTCACGTCTCTCCCTCCAAAACCCCCCTTCAACTCTCCCACAGCCCCCTGAGAAGGAGTGCCTCGCAGTCTGAAAACCTCTGGCTTACAGAAATTTAGCTTGAGAGGACACAAAATCTTAGTCAAGTTTGTAAAGCAGTCATGTGACAGCAATAATAAATGAGACACCAATATTGCCAATAAGTCAATAACCAAGTAAAAAAAGACTTTTGTGTACCCATTTTGAAAATACTGCCTACCACTGACTACCACAACCTAACCTGGACTACTTTTCAATAGTTGGAACTGACCTTACACAACTGCAGCTAATTAACCATGCATTTCCCACATTACATTAGATTAAATTGAGTTAAATAGGTTATTCATAAAGATTTGCCATCACACCACAGACCCTCAGAAATGTAAAAGCATATTTTTTAAAAAGTCAAATAAAATGAGCCAATTTCATTCAATGCCAAATCCATTATGATAACTTAGGTTAAACAATTTTCAGCCTTGTAGACCGAGGAAAAAAACACAATGAGTTAAAAACTCAAATTATCAAACCCATTAAACATTCAGATAGAGTAATTTGCTATCAAACACAAGTGATCATCCAAGTACATTAGACCATTAACACATTTCTAAAGACTCCCAATCTGTCAAAGAAATGTAATTTAGGCCCTGAAAAGGTCTTTATTTATCAAGTTATGATGGACGGGCTTGAAGGAGACTAAAAACAAGTGCACATGTGTCACATTCTTCCTCTAGCTCTCATCTTGGTCTTCATGCTGCACTCAGGATCATTCGGCTATTTTTACAGGTTATATATGATGTGTTTGAATACTCATGAAGCCTTTTTTTAACAACAGCTGACCCAAACATTATTCTCATACAGACCCTCTCTGTGGACACATTCTTTCTAAGTGCTCCTACAATGGACAGCTTGATTGGACCTTAATGTTTACAG